CATGGTTATTAACTGAAGCCAAGTGGTGTAGAATTACTTGACAAACTTTTGGTTAAAATTTGTTAATTTAAGAGCCAGGTGTGCTGGTGCATGGTTATCATCCCAGCACTTGGAAGGCTGAAGTAGGAGAATGGCCATAAGTTTAAGGCCTGCATGGATTGCTTGCCAAGATCCTGTCTAAAAACACACACACGCACACATTTTTTTGTTGATAATTTGCATTATTAAAAGATATGTAAGAGGGGGGAACTACCCACTTGGGCCCCCCTCCTGTCCCTCTCTTGGACAGGAGCTTGCTTTCTCTCAATAAATATATTCTGCTCATAAAAAAAAAAAAATAAGATATGTAAGAGTGATACAAACAAAGCCAGGTAATTCTTACTATAGGAGTCATGGAGAAATAAACAATTTGAGGAAGAAGGTAAGTAGAAATAGACTTAAATTTATGAAAGAAAGTGTGTTAGTTGTACTTAAAGAGTCATAGTTAACAATAGGCTTTTTGTTGTGGTTGGTATCTTTCCACCCCTCCCCACCAATGAAAAAGAAAATGTGTGGATTTATGGTACCCACATTATCAGTATTTGTAGTTTGGCTGGATTGTTTTGTCTTGAGATAGGGTCTTGTTGTGTAGCATAAGTTGGCCTTGAGCTAGCTTTTGTAGCCTAGGTTGGCTTTGAACTCATCATGATTCTCTTGGCTTGACCTCCCGAGTTCCTGGGATTGCCTGCATCTGACACTACACCTGGCTATTTTTGTCTTTTTTTCTTTTTCTTTTTGTTCCATTTATGTATTTGGTATAGGGTCTTACTACACAGCTCAGACTGGTAGTGATCCTCCTGATTTCAGCCTCCCCAGCACTGGGATTACAGTCATGTGCCACCATGCCCAGGCTTGTTTTTGTCTTTTTAAGATCTAACTTTGGCATAAGCTGTATGATGGCAAACAAAGCAATGAACAGGATGTGTTGTTGTTGTTGTTATTATTATTATTATTATTTTAAATAGAGTTTTACTTTGTAATTCAGGCTGGCCTTGAACTCATTGTGTAATTCAGGCTGACCTCTAACTTGTAGCAGTCCTCCTACCTTGGCCTTCTGGGTGCTAGGATAGGAGTCATGGAATATTAAAATCAGAAAATAGGCTACAAGGGAATCCAGGCCTCCAGTTGCTTAAGTGGTTCACTCAGGATTGTTTGGTTGGAGGGGTGCTGGCTTTAGAAATTCTTTTTACCAGTCATGATGGTTCACACCCTATAATCTTAGCACTCAGGCTGAGCCAGGTGGATCAGCAAGAGTTTGAGACCAGCTTGGTTTACAAGATCCTGTCTCAAACCAGAAAGAAGTTTTCTGTTAACAGTCGTTATTTAAGATTACTATACAGCACAGTTTCCTAGAATGGCTTCCATTTGTACATTTGTTCTTCATAGGTATATAAAATGTCATATCATTACCCTTTTTTGTTTTTCTTAAAATGGAGTTTTGAATGGTGATGCATAGCTAGTTGTACTGAATTAGAGACAGTATTGTGATACCCCCCTGTAATCCCAGTTGCTTGGAAGGCTGAGCTGTGGGGGACTGTGAGTTGTAGGCCAGTTGGGCAACTTAATAAGACCCTGTATCAAAATAAATAAGTAAAACTTAGATACAGTAGAAAAGTATGAAGACGAAATATAGGAAGTAAAGCTATGCTGTTATGTTGAGCTGTGGGGGACTCAGGTCAATAATTTCTGACATTGCCAGTTAAACAGAAGACCCAATGCTATTATGGGCTACTGGACT